ACCCAGGATGGATATTCTAGAAGATCTCCACAGAAAATGCTAGGCTCCGGAAGAGGGAGTCTGCTCTGATTTTCAGCTAAGAGTTTGACCACTTCCAGCAGCTGACCTTGGGATACCGTTGAGTCTTGACTGGATTCACCTTGCTTAGGGTAGGAATGGGCTTCCTGTGGTACACTAACAGAGGTTGTATTTGCATTCTGATGCAATGGCAGATCCTGATGGTCTTCTCGTGGGCGTGCTGAAGCAAACGGAGGATCTTGGGGATTTATCTGTGGTTTCTCCTGCCTTTCTATGGTCTTGTACGTCTGGCGCATGCTCTGTTTGGCCAATCCCGTAGGGCCGATTTGGAGTGCTCTTAGCTCTTGGGCTGCTGTTGGTGATCACTCGGCTGTAGTCTGCTCCTTCTTGCTGATCGTCAATATACTGTTGTATTTGTTCATCGATGTACTGCTCGCAGCACCCTTCCGTCGGTGTCGAAGATATCTGTTCTTGTCCAGGGTGGCTCATTTTTTCTTCCATCAATTTCAGTTTAAGATCAATCTGCTCTTCAATCTTCTTTAGATTTTCCTTCATTCTTCTTTCTTCTTCCAATACTTCTTGTCTGCGTTTCTCGATCTCCTCTAAAGTCCTTTGTTTCACTCGTTCTAATTCTTCTCTTTCCGATTTCAACGCCTGGGCTGACTGGCCTCCATCTTCATTTTCGCGGGCTTGCATTCCATTCATTCCGATCATTTTTTCGTGCAGGTGCTTCAACATTTCGAAATTTTCTTTCGAAATATCATCATAATCCTTAAGTAAATCGATCTTTTCTTCAGATTCTATGATACTCTCTAATTCTTCCTTTATTTTCGTTAATTCGTCCATGTTTACCTGCAAATTTCGTCCTTCTTTCTTCAGGAGTTCCACGTCGGTCTCGTGTGACACAATTGATCGTTTTCTGTTTACAGTTTGGTTTCGGATGTTTCCGTTACGTGTGTATAACAAACAATGCATTACACCTGCTGGTTTATGTGATACCGTCGGAAAATTTCAATTGTAAGCTGTATTTTTGCCGCCCCCCACCCCCCCCCCTCACCACCATTGGCCACTAGCTTGCACTTGTAAAATTAACGGGCGGTAACACACAACTGGCAGAGTAATAATCTCTATGTTTAACATCGGTTTAATAAGACTTTGAGCATCTTTCTATATATATTTGGTGCAGCCATCATAAATTCCAAAAATACATCCTATTCAGTGCTGATAATATTTCTTCTATAAACACAAAGCTTGTTCAACATGCACAATACAAAGGTGAGCCTTGCCTCGCAACTTCCCATATGTGCCCGCATGGAACGGAGGGGCACTTTCTCCCCACACACCGAGCACTCTTCCTCATCTTCATCCTCTTCGATGGTTTCTTCCAATTGGATATTGCATTGCACTGGACGGATGTAAATCCGACCAGTGCCCAAACACTTAAGTTCGTCGGTGGAGCAAGCCCCAATTTGCACCACGTGGAGCTGGGTTCGGCTTTTTTCTTTTGTTAATAACATCTCAAAACCACCACATTTTCGTAGTTTCGGAAAGGCACTGTACAAAAAAGGATTCAAAATCATACTTAGAATGATTACTACGCTTTTAGATCACAGTAACTTAGTAAACCATGTTCCACTCAGTTCGTCGTTACAAAGAAGGGCAGTATTATCACTGCTGTTATTTTTATACGCATACTTACTCAATCAAAACGTCCTTCACTAACATCTGAAGGAAAAACTACTTTCTTTTCCCCCAGACCATTTCTCCTAAGGTGAAGTTTCTCCAGGGCCGTTGGTACGACCGTTTGGTCTGTATAGGCAAAACAAACCATGGTTCTTGTAAACGTTCGCTCTAAAGTATAAAATACATTATTAAAGTCATTAAAAGACTTATTATAGGGCATAGAGTTTTTCGTAGTTTTAATGAAATTTGGCAAGAAGAATGGGGGAAGTATTGGTAAGCAAAAGAGCGTGAGCGATGTTTGATATTGCGATTTTTTCGTTTCTTATGCGTTAAAGCGTCAAACGATTTGGAAAATTTCGGAAGGTTCAAATTTCAAATTCTATAACTTTTTTTAAAAAAATCAAAAAGCGCACACACTGATTCAAACAGTAAATTTCTTTTATTAATTCGCGCAAACGAAATGTCTATCAATTCACATATACGGAACGCACCCGATTCCTGTTAAGGCTCTGGCATCGTTTTAGATTGAAAAAACGTGTTCAAAATCTATATTTTCTTAATCTTGATTATATGACCTTATAGTTTGTATACCTTATATATATAGTTTGTTAGGGTTTTGATGAAAATGTTGGGTAATGAGAGTTTTAAACGAAACATATCTCTGAAGGTCTCCCGTAACCTTAAAGCAAAATTTCTTAGAAACGAATTCGGTGATCCCTATTTTTCTTATTCTTAAAATTGAGATATTACCAAAATCTACAACATATGTTGAAAAAATAAAAATCTCATTGTGTTAGCTCAGTTGGTTAAGCATCGGACTTTCATGCGGGAGGTCGTGGTTCGAGTCCCGGCCAGACCAACACTCAGGGTCTTAAAATAACTGAGGAGAAAGTGCTGCCTTTGTAATTACATCTGCAAATGGTTAGACTTTCAAGTGGCTCGGACGACCACTTTAAATGGCGGTCCCGTCTCTCCACGCCCATCATCACTAACCAATATCGGAGGGACGTAAAAGAACCACTGAGGACGTAAAGAAACCCTGGCAGTGACCACCCTCAGTGCCTCCACTCCATACTAATCATCCCTGGCGGGGGGCGTGTCTCATCTTTAATCTAGGCTATTCTATATTTTATATCTTATTTTTTATTATTTATAGTTAGCGCGATAACAAAATGTATAGTTTCTGCTAACTTTAAAGATGTAGATGTAGGTGCATACCTTTTTGGGCTGTACTGGAATTTGCAGCAGAGCGCCTTCGACAAGTTGATGGTCTGTTTCGTACATTCTCGCATCTTTTTCAAAACTTTCATGGTCTTTGACACCTCCAGGATGATTCTTGGATACTTCGTCATGAGACAAAGTGAAAAAGTTGCGTCCACTGCGATCTTTCTCAGACTTAAAACTCGTTACTTAGAGTTCTCTCTGTCCCTCACGTCCTCTTCTACAAAAGTAAAGGTGTACGAGAAACCATACATTCCACACGAGTGACAAAGGAGTAGCTAAGCTGATCACTGGACTTGCCTTGAGTTTCACCAAATCTTCCTCTTCGATAGGTGGCTTGTGAGTGGTGCTTTGTTTATTTTTCTTTTTTAGGCTGACAATCTGTGCATCAAGCATTTGGTTAAATTTTTGAAAACGTGGATCTTGGGAGATTTTCAGGCATCTGTTTAGTGGTGGCTGATTGAGATAAAGTTCAAGCCCATGCCTGAAACCTAACAGCGTTGATTTGCTGTAGTCTTCGCCTGTTTTGGTTCTCTCTTCGGCGTAAAACCTTCGCAAATTCAAGTAAAGTTGGCCGATGGTCATTTTTTCGAGGGACGTTTGGATTTTCTTTTCTCTGCACCCTGCTAAAAGGTAAAAAAAATAGCATTATTATTGTGCAAACATGAATTAATTCGCTAACATATAAGCTTAACTTTTATATAAACATTATAAGAAACTAAGCCAATTTAAGTTAACAATTTGTAGTTTTGAAAAAAAACACTATCCTATTGACATTTGTAAGAGCTAACGCTTTGTAGGCTTTGTTTTCAATGAGAATAAAATATTAAATAAAATGAACCCACAAAACAATTTTACTTACTCTTAAAGGTAAAAATCGACCAGTTTGTTGCCTTTTTTGTTTTTGCTGACAATCGATTCTCAATCAGGGAGTTGAGATCTTTCTCCGATAATTCTGCGAAGCGTCCCTTCTGGTCTGTCTGGACTTGCTGAGGGTTCTCATATTGTACTTTTTCTAATTCTAAAGTGAAGTCTGGCATTTCATAATCAAAAATGTCTTGCAAATTTGGAAATATTTCGTCCATTTTTGTAAGAAAATATTACAAGAGAAAGGAAATGACGTGAGCCTGCAGCCCATGGGCAAATAGTTAATAGCTTTTTAGCCAATCAGAGCGCACGTTAGATTTCAGTTATATTATAAAACTCTTTGATTCCCATTGCCGTCTTTCTCTATGGTTTGACTATATGGTCCGGAGTGACCAAATGAGTCAAACCAGTAGCGAAATGCTGCTGCGTGGCCTCTAACTGCTGGAGGCTTGAGGCCTTTTCATTTTAGTGTTCCCAGGTTCTTCCCCTTGGTTTCAATCAGCATTTCTATTAGAGCAAATATTTGAATAATTGTGCAAATTAACGTKAAGAACATTATGCTTATAGGGCTGCTACCTTCTTAATGATTTTCTATTCTGAATGTCTTATAACTGGAATCCCAGGCAGGTACCGTTCTAATGTTTTCAGACGATTCGGATAAATCTGTTAACTCTGGCGTTACTTATCCTCCATAATCATAGAAAGAAAATTAGTGCCGGCTAAAGATTAGTGCCAATTTCTTAAAAAAACTAGTTAGACTAGTTGTGCAAAAAGATTCTGGCACGTTGTGACTATTTCAACCATCAATTAAGCTTATGTACGCGTGTTCGGATAACATTATGGGAATCAGAGTACCATACACAATATATCTTTTGTTATGATAAAACTTACGCAAAAAAAGTCTGAAGGCCTAGCTTTATTAAAAGCAATGCAAAAACATTTTCTGAGAAGAATACTGCTGCACACGCGTATGGACCAATGTTGTAACTTAGAGTCGAAAATAAGGATTAACTACTGCTTTTATTTAACACGACAAGGAACACATGGCGGTCCGCCATTACACCTAATCCTCCCTGTCATGTCCCGTATGTAGAATCATGACGTCATCCATAGACAGGATATGACACTCCCTCCCCCTCAGGCTCRATGCCATGCCCAAACCCAAACAAAAACAACAAGCTACAATGTCACTGTCTTTTATCTTGCCAGTCCTATTGTTCATAGTCCCGTAGGTATGCTGGCTGCCTTCTCTCTCTTCTGGGGTATCGTTCATGTGGCACAGCTACCACCTCTGTACAGGCAACTGCATCACAACTAGTGGTAGGCCGCTCTTCGACGTTGTTTGGAAGGGGCTCTGTAGCTAGAGTGACAACATCCCTTGGTGACTGCAGCATGACATGGTTATCCTGCCCTTCCACCTTCTGTTCTCCATCCTTGACAACCTCTTGGGTTATAACCACCGAGTCCCCCTGTGGAGGCGATCCGGTGGCTTTCTCAGGATGCCGACTACGCACATGGTCTATGTGTCTGCGTACTCCCCGGCCATCCATTAGGGTAACTGTGTAGGACAACGGGCCTGTAGTTTCCTGAATTACCCACGGGATCCAGCGTAACCCGCTTCCAAAATTCCGGACATACACTGGGTTGCCAACCGTGAACACGCGTGGGTGGGCTTGACGGTCATGTACTTCCTTCATCTTGCTCTGTTTTTGTTGAACCTTTCCTTGTAGGTTTGGATGTAGCAAGTCTAGTCTACATCGCAACTTGCGTCCCATCAATGCTTCCGCTGGAGACTTCCCAGTTGTTGTCTGAGGTGTTATCCTGTAGTTGAATAACAACTTCTGAAGTCGAGTCTCAATGCTATCTCCTCGCACTTTCTTTAGTCCTTCCTTTATGGTCTGTACTGCTCTTTCGGCTAAGCCATTAGTTGCGGGATGGTAAGGTGCGGACGTGACATGCACTATACCGTTCTGAGTCAAGAATTCCTCCATCTCTTGACTAGTGAAGTTAGACCCGTTATCAGAGACGACCACCTCCGGTAGCCCGTGAGTTGCAAACATCGCCCGAAGCTTAGATATGGTGGCAGCCGAGGTRGTGGAGCTCATAATCTCTGCATTAATCCATTTGGAATGGGCATCAACAACAACCAAGAACATTTGGCCCATAAATGGACCTGCGTAATCCATGTGTAGTCGTTTCCATGGTTGGTCCGGCCACTCCCAGGGGTGCAAGGGAGCTGCCGCCGGTGCCTTACGGTGTACTTGACAGGTTTCACATTGTTGGACTAAGTTCTCTAAGTCCTTATCCATAGACGGCCACCACACATAGCTACGTGCTAATCCTTTCATACGGTTAATACCTGGATGTGCTTGATGCAGCTCCTTCAACACCTGCTCTCTCCCTACTGGYGGAATCACGACTCGCGCACCCCAAAGCACACATCCCTCGTGCACGCTCAACTCCAACTTCTTTGTCTGGTATGGCCTCATCAATGGATCATCCAAGGTGCTATCGTCAGGCCATCCTCGTAAAAGGTATTCCTTTACATGTGCTAGCACCGGGTCACGTTGGGTCCAGGTACGTATCTGCTCMGCTGTTAAGGGGAACCCCTCCAGCTCTTGAATGAGAAGTACTCTGTCCTCTTCCTGCACTTGCCGACTTACTGGTAAGGGTAATCTGCTGAAAGCATCCGCATTTCCGTTCTCTTTTCCCGCTCTGTACTGGATGGTGTAATCATAACCTCTTAGGGTCACAGCCCATCTTTGGACTCTTGGTGAGGCGGTGGTTGGCACCTGCTTTTTTTTCATTGAACAATGTCTCGAGGGGCTTGTGGTCTGTCAAGATCCTAAAATGGCGTCCATACAAATACTTGTGGAATTTCTTCAGGCCGAATATGACGCCCAGTCCTTCTYGATCTAATTGTGAGTAGTTCTTCTCAGCTGTGTTAAGGGTTCTGGATGCAAATGCGATAGGTTTATCAGCACCGTCAGCCATGCGGTGTGACAGCACCGCTCTGACGCCGTAAGGGGAAGCATCGCACTGTAATACAAGCTCTTGATCTGGGTCATAATGGACTAACACATCTGCAGAATGATCAGCTCCTTAGACTTCTCAAAACTCTCCTGTTGTTCCCTTCCCCATTTCCAAAGTTCCTCGCTTCGCAATAACTTATGCAACGGTGCTAGGGTGGTTGCTAACCTCGGTAGGAACCGATTGTAGTAGTTCAGCAGTCCCAAGTAGGCTTTCAGCTCAGAGACATCATTAGGTGCCCTTGCTTCTGTCAGTGCTTGCACCTTGTCTTTCACAGGGTGGATTCCCTGTGCGTCTATCACATGACCAAGGTATGTGACACTCTCAGCCAGGTAAACACACTTACTTTCCTTTAGCCTTAAGCCCGCTTCCTCCAGCTTGGATAACACTTGTTCTAGGATTTGCAAATGTTCTGCATCATTGGCTCCTGTGACCAAGATATCATCAATGTAGACTGCCACCCGGGGAATTCCTCGCAGGATACCCTCAATGGTCCTCTGGAATATGGCTGGGGCACTGGACACCCCAAAAGGAAGTCGGGTATAGGTGAACAATCCTCGATGGGTATTGATTGTTACGTACTGTGATGACTCTTCATTTAACAGTAACTGTTGATAAGCATGGCTTAGATCTAACTTGGAAAWTTTCTGCCCTCCAGCCAATTTGGCTGCGATATCATCAAASGTGGGAWGTGGGAACTGATCAAGCYTTGAGGCTTGGTTTACTGTAACCTTATAGTCCCCGCACAACCTTATGGACCCATCTGGCTTTAACACAGGAACCACTGGGGCAGCCCAGTCAGAAAACTGGACTGGTTTGAGGATGCCTGTTGACACAAGCCTGTCAATTTCGGCCTCTACCTTCCCCTTCATTGCATAGGGCAAGGACCTGGGTTTGAAAAACTTGGGCGTGGCAGTGGGGTCCACATTTATCTTAGCAGTAACCCCTTTTATGGTACCCAGTTCCTCCTTGAAGAGGTCACCATGTTTTTTCAATACCCCTCCTAGGGATTCTGGCAAGGGCTGTTCTTTTATCTGATTCACAGTCATGACTGAAAGACCCTGTATAATGTCTCTTCCTAAAAGCAGTGGGCCTCCCCCCTTGGTAACATGAGCTTCAGCTTTTCTTACTTGACCATTGTACTTTAGCTCTAGGGCAACTGTTCCCAATACATTTACTCTCTGACCTGTGTACGACTTGAGCCTTAATGGCGATGGCTGTAATTTAGGTACCTTCCCTCCAAACATGCCCTTGATTGTTTCTTCATCTATCAAGGTGACCGGGCACCCAGTGCCTAGCTCAAACTCCAAGGGTGCAAAAGGGGTTGCATTTCTACCACAACTATGATGGGTTTCCCCTTGGTATCACTGTGATTCATGTTTTCCTCAATTCCTGGGTCCTCAAACTCTAGGTCCTCTTCTTCTACTAGGCTACAGTTCCTGGATCTGTGTCTCTCCCGACACATGGCCTTTGTGTGCCCCCTCCTTTTACAGGAAAAACACTGTTCATTCTTAAATGGGCATTTAAAGGGGGGGTGTGAGCCCCCACACCGGAAACATTCTTTACYTGATTTCTCATCTCTACTACTAGGTTTTTCTTTCTTGCCTTGAGGAGAATCCTGACCTTTGGCACCCCTACCATACATTTTATTGACATTAACACTTGGGGTAGCACCTGGGGTATTAAGGCTAACCTTATGTAACTCCTGTAAATCTCTGCTTGTGGTCTCCATAGCTATAGCTATGCTCATGGCCTTTTCGAAGGATAGAGTTGTCTCACCCAGGAGTTTCTTTTGGATCTGGTCATCATTCACCCCCACTACTAGTTTGTCTCTCAACATGGTATTAAGGGTATCACCGAAATTACAGTACTTACTCAGGCTTCGCAATTCTGCCACATATTCGTGTACTGTTTCCCCTTCTTTCCTCATCCGAGTGTGAAACTTGTACCTCTGTACAATCTCTGACGGTTTCGGCGTGCGATGGTCCTGGACCAGTTTGACTATTTCCTTGAATGACTTTTCGGCAGGAGATGTTGGATGACAAAGACTTTTTATCAAGGCGTAGGCTTTTTCTCCTGCTGTTGCCAGCAATATAGCCCTCTTTTTATCTTCATCCTTGATGTCGTTGGCTCTGAAATAATGGCCCATTACTTCGATATAATCCTCCCATGTCAGTGCGTTGGGATCGAACTTGTTTAGGCTACCGTACACCGCCGCCATGACTTCCCTCGACGAATTTCCTCTGGATTTTAAATTCCTTAGCGCTGTAATTTCCCTTACAGATCACTACACTGGTTCCTCTTTGGATCCCGTCCTCGTCGCCAATTTATGTTGTAACTTAGAGTCGGAAATAAGGATTAACTACTGCTTTTATTTAACACAACAAGGAACACATGGCGGTCCGCCATTACACTCAATCCTCCCTGTCATGTCCCGTATGTAGAATCATGACGTCATCCATAGACAGGATATGACAACCAATAGGACCAAAGACCATACCACTAACACAACACAAACCGCGATTGACCCCACTTATCTTTTGTTGTAATACATAGCATTGTACTTAAGCATGAACGTCTGTATTGTTGCGGCCAAAAATGGCCTTTTTGGCCCAAAAAGAACAGCATCGTCTCCGTTGCTTAGAGCGAATTCTTCGAGAGCGACGAGCCGCAACTCATAAGTCCTTGAAGTTTTTTTCATGCAGAGCTTCGGCTCTATTCCTGACGGCAAGCCTTGCCCCTGCSGCTAAATTCAGGGCAATTAGACCTGCAATGTCAACATCATTGCCGCAGCTTTCAATAAACCGTAGTACGTTAGGACTTCTGCCCTTGTAATTTTTTTTGGCTGCCATTGCTGAAGTTTCCAGAGTTGAAGATGCCGCAGTCAACGACAAAGTAAGCCGGATACGAAGGTATTTTTTATTGACAAGGGTTCATGACGTAAATATACACAAAGCTCCTCATTGGTCCAAAATCGTAGCATTCCTACTGGCCTCCTACCGAATTAATACACCACGACTACGAAAGAATAAACACCCATTACTCAAGGGAAAATAAAACCTGCTTTACAAGGATACCGTGCCTTAAAAATAATAGAATACGCAATGATGGTTAAATTTCATGTTTTAGCATTAATGTTTTTAAAGACTTCATAGTTGTAGCTGTTCTCAGTTCATTTGGTAAACTATTCCAGAGAAAGCCACCACAATAACTGAAGCTTTTTTTTTAAAAGCAATTCGTGCATGGCAAGGGCAGCACTACATTCTGTATTTCTTAAATCTCATTTATTTACCTTGCTACGATCAATAAATTTTGAAGAAAGATAATCTGGAGTCAGGTTATAAATTTTGAAGAAAGATAATCTGGAGTCAAATTATTTAAAGTTTTGAACATCATTAGTGATTTGGCGTAGGCCCTTTGTTGTTGTAAGAGTACCCAGCCTAAACTACGAAATATGTTATTCGTTCTTTCATCATAATTTGAGAAGGTTATGATTCGCGCAGCACGATTTTGAAGCTTCTGTAGTTTTTCTGGGAGACCTTTGTTGCATCCATCCCATACTGCGCTGCAATAATCAAAATACAAATTAGGGTTGGCTTTTTTCATTGGTAAAGACAATACAATACAATAGTAGTTTATTCAGGACGCAAATTATCAGAAACATACAATAAAATAGTAAGAGCGAAAGCAAAACAAGTTTAGAGGTTAGCCCTATGTAAAAAACCTCCTTAAATGCAAACATACAAACGAATTACAGCTTTTGCTGTTCATTAACCGCAAAGGAATATTCATTGAATCGAAGAAGCATTGTCATTACAGCGAACAGGCATACAATAAGGCGAACAGAGTCTCAATAGTGCGATGGAACGTTCATTAAGAAATTTAGCATTGAATTTGACAATCATGAATATGTTTGCGTGGGTTCATTAACGTTTTCAAACTTTCATTAGCGTTTTGGTGCAGACAATTAACCACAACACAAATTCAATACAGCGTTTTGGACATTTATTTAATGAACAGGTTAATGAACAGCAAAAGGTGTAAAAGCAGCGATGTGATATTAATAAATGCATAAATATTCTAATGATGAAATCTACATATAAATTACCAATTTTAGAGAAAAATAATTTATGTCTATAAAACTTATTGTTTATTATAATATATATTAATTATTGAAGTCATGATATATGACTTTCTCAATTGAAAATAAATGGAAATACTAAATTAAACACTTTAATGAGCTTGCAGTTCGTTTTTGAATGCAGAAAAATTGTCGGCCTCAACTACTTTCTTAGGTAGGTTATTCCAAGATTGGATGATTCTTATGAAAAATGAGTTTTTAATATCAATTAACTTTTGCTGGCTTAAGACAACGTTTGAAAGAGTGATTTTCCCTTTTCTTTGGCGAAGCACTAATCTAGAAACTCTGCGTTGCACGTTTTCTAAAGCGTGTATACCTTTGACAAGATACGGGGACCAGACTGGTGCCGCATATTCTAAAATTGCATCACTTACCACGATAAGAAAGTTTCCGTGATTAGCTTTGCCCTGTGATTCCTGATGTAGTCTAGAAGGATGCTGATCTGAAACAGATAGCGACATTACATTACCTTCAAAATAGTGGTATCTAATCTTTGTCAAATTTTGCATCTACAGATGCAGTAGGCAGCGAGAAACGAGTGTTTGAAAAGTCGAAAATCATGCTTCGCAATTTTATGTAGGATCCTGCACAGGATTCTACGTATTATCCTATACAGGATCCTGTAGGATCCTGGGTATATCCTGTAGGATCCTGGGCTTATCCAGTAGGATCCCGGGCTGATCCTGTAGGATCCTGGGCATATCCTGCAGGATCCTGGGCTTATCCAGTAGGATCCTGACCTAATCCTTTAGGATCTTGGACTTATCCTGCAGGATCCTGGGCTTATCCTGTAGAATTCTGGGCTTATCCTGTTCGATCTTGGGCTAATCCCATAAATCAATCCTGACCATTCCGATATCAAATATTCCCCTATTTTGAACACTGCACAACAAGTTGAGAAAAGTAGCAATAAACATTTCAAATAAGCGATGATATGCATGATAGCATATGATAGCAGAACTAAATAAAACATGACAAATTTACTCAATATTTTTTTTTGACATTAATTTTTCTGAAAGGCTTGACCTTGTCAAGGCATTTCTGATTAAGGCTGATACGAATGTCTGACCATCCTTTATCCAGGACCTTTTGTCCGTACTTTGCTTTGATACACCCTGCAACATCAAAAATATAAACTCATTCAATAAATCATTTTAATGATTATCGATCTATTAGTACTTTGTGCAAAAATAGCAGCACAACTAGGGATTGTAGGGACTTTGGTAGGGACTAGGTAGTTTTCACAAGGCATGACACAATGACAAAGAAATTCCTTTGAAGCGCTGTGTTTATTTCTGTAAATTCTTAGTATAAGCCAGGTTTTAACTAGCGACGCAAGAGCAAGAACAAGCACAAGTAGTGAAATCGAGATGTGAATAAGCGCAAGCACAAAAAGTTCTAAATAGTACAACAAAACGCAAGAACAAGTGCAAGAAAAAGGAAAATGTCTGATACCTTGCACTTGTGCTACTTCCTCGCCCTTCCCTGGGGTATTAGGTGCTAAGTAGTTAAGAATTGGGTCACATTTATGTGACATGTGCACTATCATTTTATTTAATGCGGTGCTTCTATTTTATAATAAATTCAAACATTGAAACCTGTTAATGGAAAACTTACTATTTCACTAATTGAATGAAAGGGAATGGTGATTAATTCATCATCATATTAATAGTTGAACACTTACTCTTTAATAAATTGATCTTGCTCCGGTCAAGAGCTGTTTTTCTTGTGGCTCCTTCCTTAGGTTCAACACATCCAAGAGGCATTTCTTCGTCAGTAAACAGTACTGACAGCAAACTAGTTGCGTAAAGTTTAGGCTTTTTTGCTTTGGCTGATCCATAATCTAGAAGGTTTGTACCATTCCAAATCTAAATGAAATAATAAGTAAATATTCAGTAACACAGTAATAATACTTACAAAGTCATTTTGATTCTGAACAGGTTCTGTCTTTTCAGGAATCTGTTTGACACAAGTCGTAGTTGGAGCATCAAAGCTACCGTGAAAATCCTGTTATAATAATAAATATGGTATTTGTCGGTACTTCAAGTAGTAATAAATTTAGCAGACTTTGGAAAATTATTGAATATATATAGATAGATAGAAACCTTTATTTACACAGGGTTATCCAGTCAGATATACAAAATGCAATCTGATATCAAAATGAGCCCTAAAATAAATACAATATAAAGATATATATGAACACAGGCCTAACCCCTAGGGGTGACTGAAAAAGACTAGATAGATACATTGCAGCTGGAAATTTCTTGTTAAACATTATTCCCCTATCGGATACGGTCAAGAAAAGGCGGTTTTCCAGTTGAAATTAGGTCGCGAAAGAAAATTGTCAAAGTCCCTATTATGTTTACGTACATTCTCTTATAAGAGCTTTCACTTAATAAGAAAATGCATATTTTCTCTTTCTACCAAGATGCTTTCCATCATCATCAAGGCCGCAGAATTCACGTTCTTCTTAAGATACGATTCTGAGCTGATCATCATTTGGCAACACATGCCCCCACTCATTGTGGATACCGCGACAACACGAAGCTTTTCGAGGCATAATATGCACCTCGAAAGGAAGCAAACTCAAAGTGTAACGAAAGATGGTAATGAATCTCGGTGTTTAAAGTTTAAAAATCTCGTTATTTAAAGTAATAATACTCTATATTGAAGTGTAAAAAATTTCAAGATGGCGGCCATTCGCTTTTGCTTGTGGAATCTCTTCTGAAAGTCCCAGTTCCCCATTTCATAATCAGTTCACATTTGGAAGAGACAATGGAAAAGGTACTGGAACCAATAATATTTCATAACATGGCGGGAAAAGCGAGTTTTTATTATATTTTTAGGCAGTCTTTGGTTTCTAACCAATCACAGTAAAGGATTTTTATTTACTTATCAAATTATGATAATCGCATGCTTAACATGCCGCGCATAATCTATGCCTACTTCTTACACACATCATTACTTAAAATCTTTACAGTTTTATGCGAAACAAGTTCACTCACGAGAGTGAAAGTTTGAATATTAGTCATCATTGCACTAAAGCCGTTTGTATTAATCAAAAATGACAAAATAAACAGCGGTTTATATTGAAAATAACGCCGACTGTCGAGTCCTAGGCAGGGTGAAAATTCCGTTTCTGGTTGGAACAAGCGGAGTTTGTTTTGAAAGGTAACTTTATATCTTAAACAAAACGCCAGCCAACGCTTTGATACTTTTAATCCCGCTGTGAATCCCGCGAGTCCATTACCCATAATTCACCCGATATAGTTATATACTATATGCTTGGTTGGATCAGAATGTCTGCATATCGCTATATATATGTAATATATAGAGTATGATTGGCCGTGTTGTATCAGATATACAACCACGAGGTGTAGCCGAGTGATTGTATATCTGATACAACACGGACACGAATACTGTATATGTCTTATCAAACGTCTAGGTTAGGTCCTTTGTGTTTCACTAAAATTTTCAAAATTAAAGTGAATTTGGCCAAGAAAATCCAACTTAAAGTTTATGCAAATGAACACAGTTTTGTAGTCAGATTTACAACACTCTTCACGGTAGTGATTTCTGTTGTGTTTTCCTCATGAATTATTCATGAGTTTGATAAATATATACATATACACTTGATTGCAAAAAGGTTGTATTCTGCCCTAATCTTCGAGATTTAACACACAACACACAATATGCATTGAGAATGTTGGTATATTAGTCGAGTAAGCRACAGTAATATATATATACACACAGTAATATATAGTATAACACTTGAATTACATTTCGTTTTTGAACTACTGTTCATTACAATGCTCTATGAAAACGAAACAGGTGCCAGGGAGGCCAGAAAAAAMCCCCACATGGGAGGAAATCTGGACTGGGGCCAAGGCACGTTGTCATCTTCCCCAGCGAAAGATTCTATTAAATTCCTAAACTGTTGGTTACTTGAAGTAAATCAGATGATGAATACTTAATATATCTATGCTTCGAAGCCGAACTTTTCCATCCAGCGTGCCTGTCTAGTAGACTATCGTTAAGGGACCTACAACCAGGATTAGATGCAGCTCCAGATTTAATACTGTGGAGGCCATACGCTTTAATGTCCGAGACAAAAGGTTTCAGAAATTTCTTAAAGTCATCTTTTATAGTAGTATATGAGACGCCTTTTTTGTCATGGAACCTCTGTTTAGAATTGGATTTAACTATTCTTCGAATTACAGGCAAACTAGCGTCATTCTTTGGTAAAAGAGCTAACAGTTTTTTGGCGATAGCTACGGGACAGGTTACCTTGCCCGATCTATTAAGGTACAAGGAATGCCCCTCTCTAAACTGATCATTTTTTCTCTTAGGGACTATGATTTGCATATGCTCAGGAGAAATAGTGATATCAGAAATACTCATGTTTAGCAATTCGTCTGCGCGAAGAAAACCAGCGTAACCAACTAATAATATAAATAGAAAACGGATAACTGCAAAATCACTATTGGAATTATAATGAGCAGCAATGTCTTGCAATAGTTCCAAAGACACAGGCTCTTTCGGCATGACAGGTCTAGCCAAACAGCGCTTAGCTCCTTCCAATGTATTCCGTACGAATGGATGATCCGTAGGGGGCGTATGAAACCCACCAATCTTGTGAGCCCAAGCAATACTGTACACCACGCCTTGTAAACTAGAGACGCCAAGCCCTCTATCTTGGGCATTACTCGTCAACTCCGTCAAGAACAGCGCCACATGCAATGGTTCAGCAGGAATGACTGGAACATCATCTTTGGAGAGAGCCCACTTACGCCATCGAGCCCAGCCTGACTGGTACTTGCGGACTGTTGTYGTAGCTTTAGAACCAAACTGTAAATCAATCAAMTCGGGGACCAASCACTGAAGAGAAGGGTCCTTTACTGTGTTGAGCGCAGAACGCCAAGGACTCGAGGAAAAGGCGTCTGAAAACAACTGACGACAAGTGAGTCATTAGTCAAACTGTTACACACTACGCACTGGGAATCGTAGCAAGCGCGCATTAGCGCACCGATTTCAAACAGCGGAAACCCTCACCAAAAGGTGTTTGCGCACCGCTTTCATGCGCGGCCAATCTCACCACAAATGGGGAACAATCGCTCAATGGCGAATCATGATCATTATTCATATCACCAAATGGTGTTGAGCATACTTAGCGGCTCACTTTCAAATGGAACAAAAAATGACGCTAATTCAGCACTGAAAAACACCAAAAAATCTCAAATGGACTCACCAAAAGGTACACTTGCGCACTGCGGATTGGATACCGCTGGGATTACAATGCAAAATCTAAACGGAGAGCTAGCATATCAAACGCTGGACAACCCAAAAACACGGATTTCTTAGTKTTGTAAATGGCTCTCTGGCCAGGACCCTCAATCAAAAGGTTGGCTAACCTAGGTAGCCTGAAAACCTCTTTAACATACGGCTTAAACTGAAAAGCGGATAAATGTAAATAGGGCCAAAACATACTAGAAGGCCACTTGATTGCAAAAAGGTTGTAGTATACATTTRTACAAATACCTAATTTATTCAGTATATTTAATGATATGCAAAACCGAAAACTCGCTTTATTTATTATTTGTTTCATTCAATGAACATCAAATTATTTTATTCTTGTGTTTCACATCCTACAGATTATAAATCAATTGGTTTTGAGGGTTAAAAAAGCAAAATTGCAATATGCATCTCATTAGGTATTTGTATAAATGTATA